CCCCTCACCCAATGGTAAGGGGCGCGTCAATGGCGCGCAGCTCGCGCTGCTAGGAGCTGCAGCCACAGCAGCAGGGGTTGACGCCGGCATGCTGACGCCCACAATTCACCGAAGCGACCGTAGCTTTGTGGCTTGTCACAGCAAGGTTCTCCCGAGCGTGTACACTGCAAACAGCTGCTTTGTTGCCTGCTTCTTGTCTGCTGCTGGAGCCTTGCATCCTGCTGGCTGATTTGCCACATACAGGCACGTGGCAGGTCTTGCCACCAGTGCGCCTTGCTTCAGCTTAGCACAGCGTTGAGCTGCGGTTTTGTCATTCAGCGTTGCAGCCACCAGCATCGCGGCCTTGGCCTTGGCCATGCTGGCATCAGTGCAGTCAGGGGTCATGCTTGTCAGCAAAGTGACGGCGCTGGGCAGGCTGCCCAATTTTGACAGCAGTGAAGGCACCCGTGCCTTGATGCCCGGTATTCACAGTAGCACAGCCACAAAAACCTGGATTTGAAGCCTTGGTCAGCCGAAAGGGGTCCGGTGCGAGCGGCAGGATATGCAAACCAGCATGTGGGAGAGACTTTGGCGTCTGCAGTAGTGTCCTAACCCCAAAGGCGCAATTGATTGCTCAGCCAAGGGACCGAGGGTGCCGTGCAAGTCTCTCTTATTGGCGGCAGGTGCATTTTGATAGCCGCGGGCAAGACTTGATGTGAGCGGTCGCTGAGCAATTTCGTTTGTTGGCAGCAAGCGTCCCTGATAGTTTGACCATCATCGCAATGCGTGTGCGTATATGTACGCGCACACATGCCTGCGTGTTTTTGTGTGTGCCTGCCCGCAATGCGCACTTGTGCGTGCGTGCTTGAGTGTGTGTCACACACGCGCATGCGCGCATGCGTGTGAGCAAGCGGGCCCAAGGTTGACTGACGTTGGTGCGCTGAGCAGTACTGGCGCGTCGTCTGGCGTTTGTGAGTAAGGTGTTCGTTGTGTGGATCTTGGGATGGAATCAAGCTTTTCCAGTTGCATGTATTCGCGCATTGCTCACACTGCGGCTGCTTCGCCTCCGCTTGTTCCCACATACTTGCGACCTATTAATAATGCATGCGTGCATGGGCGCGCAGCCTTGGCAAATTGCCGTGCCCGCCTGCGCCACACACACGGCGCAGGGCCGCAAGCGTGAATGCGTGTCTGCTGCCCACGCATATCACCCGCACGCTGCCCATGCATATGGATCTGACCTTGTACACCCGGCAGGCCCGAAGCTGCGCCCCTGCATGCAGCTGTGTGCATGCTGTTGCGCAGCAGTCCGATGCATGGCAGGCGCTGCACGCGCGAGCGCATGAGCCCGCAGCCATGGACGCATGATGCGGCCAGGTGGCGCAACTCTGTCTCAAATGTATATAAATGTAAATAGTATACAACCAAAAGCTCACCGTGAAGGCTACATGGGCAGCTGCTGGCTGCAGGCAGCGGGCTGGTGCGCAGGGTGGGGACAGCCTGCAATGGTTCCTCAAGTGGTCATTATCTGGTCAATAATCAGTCCTTACCCGTCCCTAGCCCGCGACCCCAGCGGCTTGGCAGAGTCCTTAGAAAATCCTTAGGCTTTCCTCATCTGGTCCTCATTACAGCTTCACAAGGACCAACTAGGGAGAACCCTCGTCCTTGCAGTGGGCGGGGCGTGCATGTGTGGCACAGCCCCGAGCTTATGACCCCCCCCCATGCATGCCTTTGGCTGAAAATAAGCTACATACCTTCAAATATGGAACTTGTGATATTGGTGGCAATGGGATATTTTTGGCATGACAGAAGCATCTTTTCATCTGCATCAACAATCTGGGTGCAAAGGAGAAGAAGGCACAGGATGCCGGCAAATGGGGTCATGCTACAACTGACTCTTCAGTCATGTGACGTGCACAGTGTCATAGATATCTTCAATATTTTCGGCATCACAGCCTCAATGGAATTAATAATGTGAAGGTGGAGGCATGGTGCTGCACTGACGAGCAGCTGGTCAGCTGTGATTTCGACGACAGGTTGACTCACTCCGGTTCACGGCTGCCCCGCCCGCGATCCAGGATCTTTGTAGCTGTATGAGAATTGGTTCAAGCTAAAAAAGTCATTCTCCATTCCTCACAGATTGCGAGATCAGGCACTGCAAATACGATCGGATGGATGCGCGCAGCTCGCAACAATCATATGAAAAATTAAATCAGATCTCAACGAGTTCCATGACAAGATCCTCTCGATGATGCCCCTCCCTTGGCTCGCGTCCACGTGACATCATAACATAACACGGAAACGTGTATTCAAGGGTCGCATCCGCTTTGCAATGACAATTAGATTAGACTGCTGAAAAATGCCTGAGCAGCTGGTCCTGGGTGGTGATTAAAAGTAACCCTCACTCGTTGGTTTGGGTGACATCAGCGGTCCACATCGATGGACGGATTAATGCACAGATATTGTGCTGCGTGCCTCGATGGCACTGCGATCCCATCAGACACATTGCAGCACAGTGAAGCGCAAACAATAAAGCGCATGGATATGATTGGTGATGCATGCACATCAAAAGTTCAAGGGGCTGTAGATAGGTGGTCCCCAAAAGCGGGTGTCACTGTTGGAGGGCGCATTGCAACCATTGATGATACGCGCTGTAATCTTCTGCAGTCAAATCACTGCGTGGAACATGCTGCAAGGTACAGCGAGTGTTCTGGCACATTTACGCAATGATCAAGATCGACACGCGAGGCAGCAGCTGCAACAGAGATGCTCGATCAAAAAAAGGTCGCTTGGTGGGCGCCTGCATTATGACCGTCGGAGCCCCTGCATGCAACCGGACGACGTAGCTACCTTCTTGACACTTTTTGTTGCTGATAAGCATTGCTTAAGCCTGAAGCAGATGTCAGGTGAGATCTACACACTCGCAACCACAATGCGGCCTGTCCATTCATCTGGACCCTGCGTGCCCTTTGGTTGACCACGCTTTCTGCTGCTCTGCTGCTCCTAGGTGATGGGGAGCCTGCTGGCGGGGCTCAGTGCATTCCTTGCACAAATTTTGCATATGACATCCTTTGGCAGGCTGCCATATTCGGATCTCCACCGAATGCGTGTGCTGTGTGCTCTGCGGCGCGCTGTGCTGTGTGCTGATGCAGGGGCACTACTGGGGGGCAGCGACAGCTGTGGCTACCTCGCATGTTATCATGTGACAAGCTGGATACTTAGGTTATCGCATATTATCATGTGACAAGCTGGATACTTAGGTTATAGTTGTTGTGGCACGCCGTTCCGATTGTTTCGCGTTGCCACAGATCGCCTGCAGCGGCAGGCAGCTCCCGGTGTGTGCAACTGTCAAGCAGCTTGCGAGTAGAACTGCGCGCCGCTCCATCGTGCACGGCGTGCTTGAGTCTTCTAGGAGCGATCTTGAGAGCAGCGCGCCATGAAGGTCACGCGAGAGGAGGCCTACTCTATTTTAGGGATTGAAGTAAGCCTTTTGAGCCCGCAGGAGGGGCTGACAGCGCCGCTGGCCTCTGATTCGGTGTCCTGGATCCGTTCTTGCGGTGTGCGCGCCGCTGCACACGCCACCGCATCAAGTGCTGCTGCTGCTGCTGCTGCTGCTGCTGCTGCTGCTGCTGCTGCTGCTGCACCCCTCAGGCCACGGAGGACGTCGCCATGATCAAGTCGGCGTACAAGCAGCAGGCGCTGAAATGGTGAGCCGCGCCTGCAGGGCGGTGGCCCTTGGGGTGGGTGGTGCAACAGCCCACAGGGCCGCGCCTGGTGACTGGCTCCATGCCCCGCCATGGCCGGCCCATAGCCGGGCTCGCAGGGGGCTGTGTGCGGTGGGTGCATGGTTGCCATGGTCAACTCCTCTGGCAGCATGCGCCATGCAGCATGCGGTGCATGGTACGCCTCCCACCCTCCCCTCGACACCCCGCGGCGGCATCCATTCTTGAACCCACACCAACACCCCCCCCCCCACATGCACCCAACTTCTTTTATGCACTGCTACTGTTCAGGCACCCGGATAAGAACGCGGGCAGCGAGGAGGCCACTCAAAAGTTCCAGATGGTCAGCGCCGCGTATGCGCGCCTGACGGGCGCTGAGTCATCGGA